ATAGTATTTCAAGGCTACTCACAAATCTTTCCAGTAATGTATAAGACATTGTTCCACTGCCATTCATAAGGTTTTCACTGGACAATTCTTTAAGAAGTGGATGTCCCCTTCCTTCTTCCAAGTCTGTCTTAGTCTGGAAGCTCTGCTGAAACCTGTCCACCATGGGTGAGCCCCTCGTATTTGAAATACTGGTGGCATAGCCTCCAGCCACACAGCAACAGACAACCACCACAATGCAACAAACTGGTGGAAGGAATGGCTTGGAAACATACAAAATTATCACATGTTGATAGTTACTAAACTTGTACAAGAAAAAATTCTGAAATATGATTGAATTTTATTTATTCTGTAATCATTTTTTCCCCTTTTATGTGGCATGGGATTTATGTACTGGTAATTATACTTTATGGAGAGAACTGCAAATTACTTAAAGTCCATTTTAATATTTGGCCTTTTAACTCTAATTTTCTTTACTTTACAATTTGACATTGAAAGGGAGTATATGCTGAATTTTTCTCCATTGATTTTGACTCAGTAAAAATGTTACATTAATCTCCAAGGGCTGCCATGAAAAATTACCACAAACTGGGTCACAGAAAACAACAGAGATTATTGTCTCCCAGTTCAGGAAACCAGAAGTCTGAAATGAAGATGGCAGCAGGATTGATTCTTCCTGGAGGCTCTGAAAAAGAATCTGTTTCATGCAACCCTCCTAGTTTCTGGTTGTTGTTGTTGTTGTTGTTATGTGCCGTTGAGTTGGACCCGACTCATAGCGACACCTCCTTGGGTTGCCGAGGCAGTATCACTACGGAAGTAGATTGCCCCATCTTCCTTCTGAGGAGCGGCTAGTGGGTTTGAACCACCAGCCTTCTGTTTAGCAGGCAAGTGCCTTAGGCACTATGCTACCAGAGCTCCCCTGTTTCTGGTAGCCTGTGGCAATCTTTGGCATTCCTTGGCTTGTTGACACATTGTACAATCTCTATCTCTGTCTTCATGTTTCCTTCTCTTCTTTATGTTTCTGTCTGTCACTTATTTTCTGTCTCTCACAAGGACACCACCATTGCATTTAGGGACAACTCTAATCCAGGACGGTGCATCTTGGGATCTTTACCTTAGTTACATCTGCAGAGATCGTTATTCCAAAAAAGATCATATTCTGACGTTCTGGGTGGACAAATCTCTGGGGAGAGAGTGGCACCATTCAACCAGTACATCTGGTAATAAATTATATTCTAACCATTCCTGATTCTTTTCAGAACTCTGAAATTACTCAGCTGTTCCCTGCTTTTGCTTTCAGAATACGACCTTGTCTCTGCCTATGAGGTTGACCACAATGGAAAGTATGTGTCCCATGAAATCACACACCATCAACGGAGGAAAAGAGCAGTGACCCAGTTAGGAGCTGATTCCCTTCACCTTCGGCTGAGAGGATTTGGGCACGACTTCCACATGGATCTGAAAACTTCCAGCAACCTGGTAGCTCCTGGATTTATTGTACAGACCCTGGGAAAGGGAGTCACAAAATCAGTGAAGACGATTCCACCAGAGGATTTCTGTTTTTATCAAGGCTCCTTGCGATCCCACAAAAACTCCTCAGTGGCTCTCTCAACCTGCAAAGGTTTGGTGAGTACTGTTCTCTCCCCTCCTGTGTTGAATCTCACCTACTAGGGTGAATCTCCCCGTCATGGATAAGGCTCAACTTGAGATCTGTAGAGTTGTGTGGACAGTGTTGTGTGAAGGGAGATTTCCTTGAAACATTTCAGTGTGTGATCTTACTGCAAGACACTTTTTTTTTTTAATCTGTAAAAGCAAAAGGAAATTGATCAATAATATTTTCATAAATAAGTTGCTGCCTCCCTTGGCTTCTTTGGAAACTGGGTACACACCACCCTATTTTGTTGTTGTTTATTTTTGTCTAGAATAATTGTGGCTGAGCTCTTCATTTTGAACATTGTATGTCAGAACTAGTGGGAAGTTTTGAACATATTAAGTTTAGGATTCCTCTGACTTACTGGTTCACTATTGAATCTGTATACATGTCTTCATTTTGAGAAATGCACTTGCACTCCATGAGCTGACCATGTTGATTATTTGATGACATGCTACAAAGACATTGAGTGCATTGCTGCTCTCATTCAGATGATGAAGACCTCCACATTAGGACAGTGATGAAATTCTGATGGAATGACATCTGTATGGCAGGGAGAGGCCAGTCTATCTCAGTAATGGGTCTACTGGTACATTTACCTTTTTCCTAATATCTGATTGAGACATTAAACATTACCTACATGCTTCAGAGCACTCGGCTGCTAATTGAAAAGTTGGTAGTTCAAACCCACCAGCTGCTCCATGGGAGAAAGTTTAGCCACTCTATTTCCATAAAGATTTATAGCCATGGAAACCCTAAGGAGCAGTCCTACTCTGTCCTATAAGGTCATTATGAGTCAGAATCAACTCAACAGTGGTGGATTTATTGGAACTTACTACTTCAGGTGTTCCTCTTGTGGAAACCTAGAGTAAAGAGCATGTGACCAAGTCGAAAATCCACTTGCACTCCTCAAGCCCAAAGTCAATCCAAGATGAAATCCTAATGGCTTGCCTTTTGCTTTTGTTAACTTTACATATTTTTATGAGAAGAAAACTTAGTATATACTTATATCCTTGGGCAAAGATTATTCATTCAGACACAGTTGAGCAACAAAGAAGTCTAAGGTGACATATGACATATAAGCAAATATTGAGGTGATAGAGTGAACTAGTGGGGTCAAGACACTTTAAGTGAGGTCTTGAAGGTTTTCAGTTTGACAAACATGTTTTTGAACATTTTTTGAATCTCTAGAAAATGCTTTTCATCTGTTTCTTAAACCTCTTTCCCTCTTTGGAAAGGGGAAATTGAGATCCCACATCCCGTAAGAGTTATTCTCCCCCTGAAATATGAATATTTGATGTTGAAATGGCTTTCATAACAAATTCCTCAAAAGGGTGAATATATACAAGTGCTAAATCCTCTAAAAATATTTTTAGATTAAAATTCTGTGTTCTAGGAGAATTCTGTTAGTCTTACGTCTCCTCTCATTTATGAAAACTTTTTGGTGTAAGAATAAATACCATAAGAACCCTCCAGACACAGGGGCTGTTATTTGACACACTTGTCAAGCATTAAGGTTGTTGACTGCTACCACACTATCCCAAGAAAAATAGGGCTCCCTTGACTAGAGCAAGAGCATTTGCACATAGTGCACAAAATGAGAATATCTCAACTTCAGCTTTCATCAACAAAGACTCAAACCACAAATGTGTTGTAGAGAGATGCATCATGCCCAGCAGAGCTTTGAACGCCTGGATTTATTGGAAGAGAATGAAGGAGGTGTTTCCCCCTTCTTGTTAATGCACAAGTAGGGAAGTTCATCGGCACCCCTGGGTCTCCCTGAACTCTCCCAGGCCTTCCCATGGGACCTGAGATACTCACTGAAGTCTGTTCCATGAATAGATATGGCTGGTAACAACCGGAGATCTTTGGCTCTTTTGAACTCAGTGGAAGTTACAGCAAAAGTTTTCAATATCCATCTACATGAAGGATAAAGAAGGGAAAAAGGAGAAAGACCTCTCCAGATAATCTTGATGTTGTTGTGTGCCATCAAGTTGGACCTGACTCATAGAGACCCCTCCTTGGGTTTCCAAGCCAGTATCACTATGGAAATAGATTGCCCAACCTTCCTTCTGAGGAGTGCCTGGTGGGTTTTAACCACCAGCGTTCTGGTGAGCAGTCAAGTGCCTTAGGCACTATGCCACCAGAGCTCCAGATAACAAACACCAAGATTTAATATTGTGATCACTGAAATACGACTGTGTATGCATTCACAATGAATTTTGCTAATACATATATTCCAACATCAAGTTCAACTTGAAGTGGAAGACAATTAAAACAAGTCCACAAGAGCCAAAATATGACCTTGAATGTATTTCTTTGGAATTTATAGACCATCTAAAGTATAGATTTGATGCATTGAACACCAATGACCAAAACCCAGAAGAATTTTGGGGTGACATAAAGAACATCATCCATGAAGAAAGAAAGAGGTCATTGAAAAGACAAGAAAGGAAGAAAAGACAAAAATGGATATCAGAAGAGACTCTGAAACTTGCCCTTGAGCAGAGAGTAGCTAAAGCAAATGGAAGAAATGACAAGATCAAAAAGCTGAACAGAAGATTTCAAAGAGCAGCTCGAGCAGACCAACCCAGTTACTATAATGAAATGTGCAAAGACCTGGAGTTAGAAAACCAAAAGGAAAGAACATGCTCAGCACTTCTCAAGCCGAAAGAACTGAGGAAAAATTTAAGCCTTGAGTTGCAATATTAAAAGATTCTATGGTCAAAATATTGAATGATGCAAGAAGCATCAAAAGAAGATGGAAGGAATCACAGAGTCACTGAACCAAAAAGAACTGGTCGATGTTCATCCATTTCAGGAGGTGGCATATGATCAAGAACCAATGGTACTGAAGGAAGAAGTAGAAGCTGCACTGAAGGAATTGGTGAAGAACAAGGCTCCAGGAATTGATAGAATACCCACTGAGGTGTTTCAAGAAATGGATGCTGCACTGGAGGCACTCACTCAGTTATGCCAAGAGATTTGGAAGACAGCTACCTGGCCAAGTGACTGGCCAAGTGACATATTTGTACCCATTCCAAAGAAAGGTGATCCCACAGAGGGTGGAAATTATCAAACAATATCATTAATATCACATGTACGTAAAATCTTACTGAAGATAATTCAAAAATGGTCACAGCAATATATTGACAGAGAACTTCCAGAGATGCAGGCTGGATTCAGAAGAGGATGTGGAATAAGGGATATCATTGCTGAAGTGAAGTGGATCTTGGCTCAAAGCAAAGAATAATCAGAAAGATGTTTACTTTTGCTTTATTGACTATGCAAAAGCATCTGATTGGGTGGATCATAACAAATTGTAGATAATATTGAGAAGAATGGGAGTTCCTGAACACTTAATTGTCCTCATGAGGAACCTGGACATAGACCACAAGGCTGTCATTCGAACAGAACAGGATTGGATGAAAAATCATTAACAACCTGCGATATGCTGATGACACAACTTTGCTTTCTGA